TGTTTTCAGCACACCAAAATACATGGAAATTGGATGAAAATAATCAAACAGCTTTTTAGTCGCAGACCTGTGTTATTTTTTTCATTAACTGTAGTTTTCTCTGCGCTTTTTCTTTCTTTCTCTTTATATATCTCTGCATTGGTCTTTATATTTAAAAAAAAGAAATTTAGCAGCCAAATTCCTTTGAAACTAAATAATCTTTTCCCCCAGTTTGCAAGTAAACTAAATGTCTCAATGGACCCATCCAAATGATAACTCATAAATAGACTTAGAACTGTCAGTTTAGAACTGTGATCATGACTGTCACAATTTTCTGAGTAACTTAACTTTAAGAATTTTCCACATTCTTCCCCATAAATTTGCCTTAGAAACTGATTACTAGTCTCTACTTGCTTTCCTGACATCAAGTTTCCAATTTGGAACATAATTTGTTACCGTTCCTTTTTTCTGCATTGCTTGCTATTTCAGGACTAGATCTTGCTGAATTGGAATGAAAGCTATTTTTCAATAAATCTGGGTACTTGGGCTCAGTAATTCTTAATTACTAGTTACTCAGTATCCCAATTATTAAGGCTAGGATATAACAGTGTATGCATCACCATTATATAAAATGTTAGTATTTCTCATCATACATATTTTAATATCTATTAAGTATACCAACCTTGATTGCTTAAAACTTTCCTCTTTCACACTGTGAACCCATTCAGTTAGCCAGTTTTTAATTGTGACCAATATGCCTTTGCTTTCCCAATAAGTTTTTACTTCATGAATATTCATAAACCTGGAATAATTAAAAGCATATATTTTAAAATAGAAGGTAAAAAGTGAATACAAGATAATTCTCAATACTTTTACCACAAACACAGATAATCCTGGAATTATGACCATTAGTTTAACAACCAAAGTTAACAACATTGTTGAAAAAAGTGACTTATGTGTGGTCTACACTTACGACTGTTGTAACATCCCCACAGTTACGTGATAAAAATTCAGGTATTTGGCAACCAGTATGCATTTATGATCATTGCAGGATCCCAGAGTCATGTGATTGCCATTTGTGACCTTCCCAGAAGGCTTCCAAGAAAAGCCATTGGATGAATCCAGATTTACTTAACAGCTAGAGTGACTAACTTAACAATTGTGGCAAAAAAGATTATAAAATTGAATAACTGCATCACTTAGAAACAAAGTTTCTGGTTCCAATTGTGATAGTAAGCTAAGAACTACCTGCATGTTGCTTTGGATTATTTTTCTCAATAAATAAATGAACAATACAATATTTTTGACATGTATAGTTTTTTCTTAAATCTAGTTATAGGATGTGTGGAGAATAGGTCACAATTCAGGTAATTTTTATGCAAAAGTACTGAATATACAAGAGAGTTCACAAAATTTTAACACCATTGTAAATGCACATAACAATGTAAAGGAAAAAAAGGAAAAAAGGGAAAATGAAAAAATAAGGAAAAAGGTAAAGAATAATCAGTAAAAAGACTTATTGGGAAAATCACATATCATAATTTTAAATTCCTTCCTATTTACGTGACTGATGTAACATAAATATATTGTATTTCTCAATACTGTTTCTATTATTTCCCCCTTGAAAACTATACTGCTAGGTTTGAGTTTGGCTTATTATGTGAATATGTATATCAGAAACCATTCTTACTTAAATTTAGTCAAATTTCTGTTATGAATATATACTGTTAATTTTAATGTTGTTGCATATTCAACGAGTGGTTTCCCAGTGTTATATTGTTGGCAATGTAGATAATATATTCATGTTAGTGATCCTAATTTAATAAAATGTTTTAAATATTTTCACTGTCAAAATATTTTTTTAACTTTTCTCCATAATCTGATTTAATACTTTTGAAATTGCAAGTTGAATTAACTGCTGCCTGTCAAATAGAATCCCAAATATTTGTTGGCTAACAACCCAAATCTTTCTGGACAAAGCTTTCTTCTTCTTGAATTAAGTACTCTGTTATTTGCTTTTTGTATGCTTACCTTGAGAATTCATCCAAACCATTATTTTCATCCTTTATTGCATTTTGCAGTTGCATAATAGTTAGTACATTATCCACATACTATTTTAAATTCTATTTCTCTCTTTGAGTCTTGATACCTGCTATCTGGTTTGTTTTGTTTTTTTGAAAACTTATTTTCTAATACTTCCAAAGCAATCAAGAATAGTAAATGAGAAACAAAGCAGATATCCTTATCTGGTATCTTTATTGATTGAAAATTTTATAGTTGTTCTATTCGCTATTATCTTTGTTATTTGCTATTGATACACACTTTTAACCAGTGGTGGTATTCAGCTAATTCACATCACTTCGGGATAACTGGTTGTTAATTTTCTGAGCAGTTTGGTGAACTGGTTGTTGGAAGAAATCATTAGGGCAGAGAATCAGTTGTTAAATTATTTGAATCCAACCACTGCTTTTAACACACGCTTTAAGTTCTTCTCCAGGATTTTGTTTAATGTAATATTTGTAGCATTTCCTTTTGCTGATCTGTACATCTCATGTGTGTTGTATTCAAATACTCTCTAATTTTCTCCAAAGTTGGCATATATTTTCCACATGGTTGAGAATAGTATTTAATAAATTTGATTTGCCATTTCTTTTGAATTTGAAACATGCTACTTTATGCCTTAAATTAATGTCCTTTTCTCAATTGATAGGCCAATAATTTATATGAGCTGCTACCTTCCTTGAAGTTTGGCTTAGCAAAAATTCCTTTTCTTGTAAGTATCATCTCCTTCCAAAAGACTAGTTACAAATCACCCTCCCATGTCCAGGATTTGATCTTCTGGCTTTTGATTCTATTTATTTCAAATCTTTGAATAAAATAGCTTTTTAGTTTTGCGCAGCTTGCTTTCTATTTACTGCCAAAGAAATAAAGATTATAATCCTTTCATAAATACTTTGCTGAACTCCCAAGCTGTGAATAAAAAAATATCAGGAATTGAGTTCATTTAAAGCTCTTTACTTCATTGGCCTTTCAAGATTAAGCTTGGAAGCAGGTCTGTTTAGTATACAAATGGATTTCATCCAGGAACTCTTAGACATGTAGGACTCTACCCATCATTGTCGTAACTAGTGACAGTTGTAACTTGCTTCATTTCACTTTTATGGTATTTTACAGCTATCTATATATTTTTTGTTACATCTAAATTGCATTTTTTTGAAATGTATATCTGCCAGGAGGATGGGGTGTCATTGTTTTTTATATTGGGTTTTTATCTTTGTAAGCAGCCTGGAGTCAATGAGTGAGTTGGGCAGCCATATAAATTTTATTAAATAAAATAAATAAACAAAATGAATTCCATTTTTGTAACATTTTATACAGGTCAATAAAACTAATTACAACAATAGCATCAACATATTATAGTATCTACTCTTCTCATTTGAAATATTTAATTACAATAGATGCATGTGCATTATTTTTATTAATTGTTAAGCACTTACTTTCCATTAATATCGACATAGCTTTCTGCTGCACCTATCAATATTTGTGCAGCATCTTGGTTCAGCATTCCACTGTTATATTGCTTCTGATAACTAGCCTATATTTTAAAAAAAGTTTGAATAAGTAGAATTCCAGAACTGTTGAATAATTAACCCATAAATTAACCCATATATATATTGCATCTAGTCTAAGGACCGTATTAGTTTTACTAAATCTGCTTATGGACTCCACTGAGAAGCACTATCACATCCAATTTGAAAGAGCAGTTCTATGTGGTTATTAATCTCTGATGTCATATTATTTTGATATGTGATAAGCTTAATCTTCAATTGAGTCTACCAACCATTATTAACTGATATTTATCTTTGGACTTCAACGATTCTAATTCTGAAGGAAAAAACAGGGATTGTCATCATTCTGCTGTTTAAATGGAAGTCAACTTGAATTATCTGTAATAGCTATTGAGAATGTTTTTCCATCTTAAAACTAATTGCTTACTAGGGTCATATAACACATATAATTTCTCTTTATTGTAGAAAATACCAAGTATTGGATGAAATAAAGTTGATTTCCTTTTGCTTCTCAGGTCACTGTTTTCTCAGAACATAGAAAAGCATAGTTCCTCAAAAAGAGTTATAAGACTCCAAGAGAGAGAAATAAAAGGGTGATTAAAAAGTCAATAAATGATGGAACTCCAAATAGGTTAAGAGATTATGGATAATGATAAAATATATTAATAATAAGAAAAATAGAAAATACAAATAGGGAAAATAGCAGCATACATATTAATAGATAATAGAATCTATTATAATTAAAAATAAACTAAGCTTAGTAAGTGGAAATTTAGGATTAGTTAATCCAATTGTATTATTAATATTAATAGTGTGTTAAAGTATATTGCAAATTTAAACATTTAAGGATTAGAAATTGTGGGAATTTTTATATATATTGCCGGGATTGATTAAATGTTGTTAATATTTGGTTTATTAGTAGTCCTAGACATTTGGGATATTGAAATTATTGTGGAATAATGAGTAATTTTCAAAATATTAAATATTAGTAACTTAGTAAGGGATAACAAATAGATGGTGTAAAGAAATGTTATTTATGTTTAAATTAATTCATGGAAAAATTGATAAAGAATTAGAAAAAGAGAATGGTACTATTGAAGTTGGAAGATCAGGATTAGGCATACTTATTCATATTATTACTGTTAGCATTGTTTAAAAAAGATTTGACCCAGTCAATATACTGTTTACAAAATATGTGTGTATTATATTAATCTCTCTCTCTCTCTCTCTCTCTCTCTCTCTCTCTCTCACACACACACACACACACACACACACCCACACACGACATGCGGTGAGGTTTATGG